TTCTCACAAAAAAATCATTTTAACAGAGAATGAATCTGGAGCAAAAATATAGTTTATTTTAAGATACCGGGAGTATTGTGTCAAATATGGTTCATTTACTTCTTAAAAGCGAGATGGGGTACTCGAACTTATACACACCTTACATCTGGACCAATCATGTGAGCAAGAGGACACTATTGTTTGGACTCTTGAGAGCTCAGGCGAGTACAGTGCCAAGTCGGCCTATGAAATTCAGTTCTGCGGTCAGACTTTCTCCAATTTTCCAAAACTGATCTGGAAGGCATGGGCGACACCCCGCATCAAATTTTTCTTATGGTTGCTCCTGCAAGATCGAGTCTGGACAGCAGCCAGGCTGCAGTTGAGGGGATGGGAAAACAACTATTTTTGTGCTCTGTGTGAAAGGAATTTGGAGACTGCCGTCCATCTATTCACGGAATGCCCGTTTGCGAGAGAAGTCTGGACGATGGTAGCAACATGGAGCAGTTGCCTTAACCTTCAGCCGGAGGGTTGGAACGACTACAGCGACATGGAAGAGTGGTTCTTTGCAATCACAAGTATCGGAACGAAAGCAGCGCACTCACTAGCAATGCTGACTACCTGGCATATTTGGAAGGAAAGAAATACTATTGTTTTCCAACAAAACCATAGCACCGTACATGCATTGTTCGCCAAGATCAAGGATGAGTACTCCAATTGGGCGTCAGCAGGGGGAGGACCTTCCACTTCCTCAGGATTGGGATGAATTCAATGAGTAATTAGCATAGAACCTTAACATCCTAGGTGACGGTCTGCCACTTGGGATGGCGCAGCTCGCGCATGTATGTTGAACTCTATCTTCTACTTATTAATACAAGCCGGTATAACAGGATCTTAAAAAAAAAAAGACATTGTTGCAGATGGCCCCAATTAAATTGAAAGGCAAGCATACCGGTGCTAGAATTCACCATCGATCAGACGCCTCAAGTGTATCCATCTCTCTGATAAATATGTCTCTGTACATTGAAACGCGCTACTGCAAAAATCCACCGGCATCGGTCTATCGCCGGTACTGTTTAGCCGCGGTGATCTCGCACCGGATCGGATGACGACACTGACGACGACGACACCCATGAATTCCAAGCGGTCTGGAGAGACATCAGGCACGTCGTGCGTACTGTACGTGCATGCAATCGCGCGCCAACACGATGCTCCGACACCGAGTCCCACCACCAATTGACGCTTCGTGCCCGCCCAATAACCCCTGCAGCTGGACCTGCGCTCGCGAAACGCCGAACGCGACCAATCAACCCTGACGTACGTCCTATGTATCGGCCCGCTGATCCCGCTACCTTAACTTGCATATATTTGCTCCACGCTTCACAGGCACCACATACACTAGAGAGAGAACGAGAGCGTATGGGTCAGGAGGCCGTGGCAGCGACGAACGGCACCGCCGGCGGCCGCGCCAGGCCGCACGCCGTGGTGATGCCGTACTGCAGGGCCACGTCATCCCGGCGGTGCACCTGGCGCTGCGGCTGGCGGAGCGCGGGTTCGCGGTCACCTTCGTCAACACGGAGTCCGTGCACCACCAGATCGGCGCCGGCGGCGACATCTTCGCCGCCGTGCGGGGGCGCGCGGGAGCGACGACGACGACGGAGGACGGCGACCACCAGGAGCTGGACGTGCGGTACGAGCTGGTGAGCGACGGCTTCCCACTGGGCTTTGACCGCTCGCTGAACCACGACCAGTTCACACTACTACATAAAGTTTACTGGAGGCGGGCGATTTGGGTTTCCCGCGGCGGGCAAAGCCGTCCGCCATGCCCTCTACAAAGCCACGGTAAATCGTGGCTTAACCACAAGGGCGGCTTTGCCCGCCATGTTAATTTATTTTACCGCGCGCGGCGGTGTAACGTGCCCGCTGCGGTAAATATATTTTACCACGGCGGGCACGTTACACCGCCGCCCGCGATAAATAGAAGAACCATGGCGGGCACCTTTTGTGGCCCGCCGTGGTTATGTTGATTTGCCGTGGCGGGCTTTATTATTTGCCCGCCTCGGTAAATTATTTCCTGAATTAAAAAATAAAGCGAGCATATATATAAATTCAAATAAAATACATCAAGCATATAAATTCAAATTCAAATTCAAATCACATCCAGATTTCACAGATTAAACTTAAAAAGTATGCGTATATTACACATGAAATAATATACATGTATATATATATATATATATATACATTCACTTAGTCGTTCTTGTCATCGTTAATTCATTACATTTACATATTAAAGTCAAGTTATACATGCGCTAAAAGTGTAATCCTGTGACGCATCATCGTGGGCCATTTCCTCGACCTCTCGTACTCAGAAACATATCGCTAGTGGGTCATTCTCATGGAAGAACGTGCCCCCTTCAAGCACGCATTTGTCTAAGACTAGAGGAGGTGAGAGTAGAGTAGAGTAGAGTAAGAGGAGTAGTAAGAGCTGCAGAGGAGGATAGTAGAGGAGTAGGCGGTGAGGGAGGAGGGAGTAGAGGAGTAGGCGGTGATCGAGGAGGAGAGAGTAGAGGAGGAGGAGGAGTAGTAGTAGGCGTAGTAGTAGTATACAACAGTAGTATAGCAAGTAGTATAGGAGTAGTATAGGAGGACAGTAGTAGCATAAAGATAGGAATAGATTAAGTAGAGAAATAGGTAGCACCATCATCAAAATAATATCAAATTTGGCAAAATTGCAGCAGAGTGGCCAATTCATCTCAAAATTCTCACAACTTTAGCATGTGATCAGTTTAAAGGCAAGGTGCATCATAGGCGGTGCCATATGCTCTTAATTTTATCACAAATTTCTTTGGCATCATAGGCAACAAAAAAGAATTGAATTCAAATGCTACGGTTCAAAGAAAAGCATCATAGATCAAGAGTATAGCAGTTCAAAATTCACCAAGTGTAGTTTATCCTGTACAATTTTCAGCCGTCCATTCCAAAAGGAGTTTACTATACCCCTTGTTCACAGCAGGTCATCTCAAAATTAAATATAGGAATAGATTAAGTAGAGAAAGTAGTAGGCGTTAGTAATAGTATACTACTAGAAATTGCAACAGAGTGACCAATTCATCTCAAATTTCTCACAAATAGGTTGTTGGAGACAATGTTGTTGAGATTCGATCTTCATTGGAGACAACCTCAGTATAAATAGGTCACAAATTCCAAATTAAATATGGAAACAACTCAACCTCATGGAGATAAGCCTATAAAGGGATTGTTAAAAAACTGCCCGGTTTCATGGCTAAATATGGGCGATATTGAAAATTCCTATCCACAATTACGTGACTACATATTCAAAGTTGCTTGGCATAATGAGCATATAATTTATAACTAAGCACGAAACAGACTCTAAGAGCTCTATGAAAGACCCTAACCTGAAAACGCCTTAAACACTAAGTTAACGTAAGAATTAGAAGACTCCTCATCATACCCAGGAAAGACAGGTTTGCATTTTCACAATGAGATGAACAACGTAGTGGAACCTAGAGAAAGCTAGGATAGCCCAAATGTGAATCTCTAATTACATTTCAGATGGGGAAAATATAGCAAGATTACTACAAGAATAAAATTTGAGCTTTGGAGACAGCATTGTAATTACAGAACCAAGGTACTACGTAGTTCTTTCCTCGGCCTAGTTCTTACCTTGGCTTTGGCAAAGAAGAGTTCAAAGTGAGGAGGTAGGCGGCTAGAGCCTGCCTGTGCTCGAGAACAGGGCCCAGCGTGTGGGGGTGACCGGGGAGGAGGACGGGACGGTGACCGGGGAGGAGGACGGGGCCCAGCGTGTGGGCCAGTGATCGCGGAGGAGCTCGGTGGCAGGCGCTAGGGTTCGGGGGACAGGGCCCAGCATGGAGGAGCTTCAGCAAGGCCGGAGCAAGGGTTCCGGGAGAGGAGGACGGGGCGGGGCACGGCACACGGGGAGGAGGACAGGGCGGGGGCGTCGTGGTGTGGCAGCGCTAGGTTCGGGGACGGGGCCCAGCCATGGAGGAGCTTCAATGCCAAGGCTGGAGCAAGGGTTCCGGGAGAGGAGGACGGGGCCAGGCCATGCGGAGGAGCTCGCGGCAAGGATACTTTCTCAATGGCCGCGCTAGGGTTCCGTGACGGGCGCCGGAGGAGCACGGGGGGCGCGGGCAAGGGAGAGGAGGACGGAGGCGCGGACTGCACGGGAGGAGAACGGGCGGGGGGTCGGTCTTGCGCGAGGAGCTCAATCGGCGGTGGAGATGGTGGCGGCGGCGTGAGATTTTTGGCAGCCCTTGGGTTAAAACTGAACCATGCGAAAAGACCGAGAATGTTGAGGGTGGGGACGGCTTATATAGGTTATGATTAACCACGGCGGGCAACGTAACGTAACACCCGCCCGCAAATGAATGTTTATCATGCACGTCTGGTTAAGTTGCCCGCCGCAAGGTAATCTATTAACTAAGAGGCTAAGAGCTAAAAAAAAAGTAGCTTCTTCTAGTTCTGTGAAATAAACTAAGAGGCTAAGGCTAAGAGTTTATGCTAAAGAATAAAAAAAATCATTTGTAACCTTATTATCACTCCACCGAAAAACAACGAGGAGCAGTACAGCTCTGCGAAACGAACACCGAAGAACCAGAAGACCCGTGGAGAAGATGAAGTAGGCGGCGTATTTATAGAGGCTTTACCGCGGCGGGCAGTTTAAACAACCCGCCACGGTAAATACTATTAACCGCGGCGGGCAATTTATGCCGCCCGCCGCGGTAAATATAAATTTCGTGGCGGTCAGTTAATGTGGCCCGCCGCGGTTAATCTTATTAACCGCGACGGGCCATTCATACCGCCCGCCGCGGTAAATATAAATTTCCTGCGGCGGGCAAGTAAGGTGGCCCGCCGCGGTAAACCCTTTTCCAGCAGCGGGCGCCTCGGTGGCCGGCCACCGGTTAACCGTGGCGGGCAAAAGTGGTGCCCGCCACGGAGCCCATTTTGGCCACGCTGCGCAAATTGATTCGTGTAGTAGTGTCATGGAGGGCGTCCTGCACGTGCTCCCGGCCCACGTCGAGGAGCTCCTCCGCCGCGTCGTCGTCGACCCGGCCACCACGTGCCTCGTCATCGATACCTTCTTCGTGTGGCCGGCCACGATGGCACGGAAGCTGGGCGTCCCGTACGTGTCCTTCTGGACAGAGCCCGCGCTCATCTTCAACCTCTACTACCACATGGACCTGCTCACCAAGCACGGTCACTTCAAATGCAAAGGTAACTACGCTAAACTGATGAGATGGTGCTATAATAATTAATGACCTCATTGATCTCGATCTCCATCGCATATGTCGTCTAAAATTAAGCCTCGTGATTGGGTACTAGTGAAGCTGAAGCTGTTTTGATAAAAAAACGTTTGAGCTTCTTGTATTGAGCCTGTTCGCTGGTTGGTTTCTGGGCTGATAAGCCCGGTTGGTGCTGGTTTGTTGTGAGAGGAAAACACTGTTGACTGTTTAATAAACCCTGACTGAAACCAACAAGCGAACATGCTGATTATCATGAATGGCTGAGACAAAGAGGACAAATGTCCAGGTAGCTAGTACAAGCTTGGTTTTTTCAGCTGCACGTGCGAGGCACTCCTTGTGAGAGCACCTTTCTAGGAGCTCCACGCAAGGAGACGATAAAATTTTATCCGCTGGCGAAGAAAGGTGTGTTGAACTACTTAAGAAGCTGAAGAAAAATATATACCAAACAAGATCTAAATTGGCACCATGTCTATATACAAGTATAATCATCAACCAAGTTGGACAAGCCAAGCATCTCTATATCATTCCAGTACTAGTTGGTATATCCGGCGAGAAGAGTCTCCATCCCATACTAGCCCCCAAGCCGGTCATTCTGGCCAACGTCAAGTAGCATACTCCTTTGATGTTCGATTTCAAGAACTTGTTAAATCATACATATGCTATATTAAATTTAAGTTTATGTAATTTAAATATACTTATAGCCAATATTACGTGCATATATCATATATAATTATTTATATGACTACTACTTTAGTAACGCTTGAAACGGTACAAGGGCATATAGGTTTGAAGGGAAAAAAAAAAAACAAAACGGTCACTAAAATGGTGTCCTTTAAAAAGAAGAACTCTGAAGCTAAAAACAAAATAATGCTATCTGGAATATGTTCCAGCACTGGTGCTAAGGCATGTGTAACTCTGTTTCATTATCTAGGTTTACATTTACATAAATAGTATAGTACATATATATGAGATGAGTTGAAATAAAGTTTGAGGACAAAGTGAGGGACACGCCACAGGACTGAACAGAGGCTGACGATATGAAACGCATGACGAGAGGGAGAGCAGCCCCTAACCAGTCGATGGGAGACACGGACCGCTGCCTCCATTCTCCAACGCTTTTCTTTCGCCCACGCCCAAGCAGTTCCTGCCAAAAACCGATTCAAGACCTGCGCTGCATGCTGCTCAAATAAAGCCAACGCAGTTGGAGGACCAGGACTACTCCAGGAGTGGCGCAGATCGATCCACCCGGTCGCCATCTGATGCCTCCTTGGGTCTGTCTTCTTCAGAATCATCCAATCTCACTGTCGGCTCACGTCGGCACGTCGCTAGCCGGTCGCCCAGGGCGCCGAGCATTATTAGTACAGGTACAGTGCACATCAGCGTCTAGGAGACGACTGAAACGTTTGCTTGCCGGTCACTACTCATCACTAATCTTAATGCGATTCCAATTCAGTCTGCTTCGGACGATCCATGCAAACAGTCGTTTGAGATTGCTTAGCCTTCCGTCCCAATGAGACTCGAACCCCTTGGATTTGATGGTATTTTTTTTTTGAACGTTGCATGCACGTCTAACAAATCACTCGATTCACTATTCATTCTTTTGATAGTTGATGACACGAACCATTTTATACCATGTGTGTATCTCTGTTCTCAACTGTGTCTCTTCGTCATACAATCTTATTGCTTGCTTCAGCCAGTTCGTCACCACCCTTGCCCTTGGCCTTATTAGGGCCTCTTTAAGGACACTCTCAACATAAAAACTATTCTCTCCGTCCTATTATAATATAAATAATAATGTATCCAAACAATTATAGGACAGATTGTGAAGCAAAACAAATGATGCATGTAACTCTCCTTTAATTGTAGAGAGATTTTGTGCTTACTGTTTTTTGAATCTGCTAGTAGACAGTAATGACAAGTACGCATATTATTGGTAGTTTTAGGGAGTTAATTCACCTAGAATACCTTATAATTTGAAACAAATTTTGGCTGCTTCAGTACCTTATATTTTAGGATAAAATGAAGTAGATGGTTTCTATATATGTTCTTTAATTAGGATTTCAACCAAACAAAATGGTGTTGTGGCATTAGAATCAAAGAATAGAGGAAATGGTTTCTTAGATAAGAGACCAGGTCTACGCGTGAACCAAGATATGAAAAGATGTAATAAATAGATGACGGACAAAGAAGACATGTGATTGGACAAAATTTTATTTGAAGAAAATGTCCATTGGAAATATAATTTCTATTTGTAGTGTCCACACATGATTTTGCAAGCATAGAAACCACCTCATAGTTTGTGGTTTGAGATTGCCTTTAGTGATATATATGGCCCTGTTCGCTTGAGCTACTTTTCAGTTATGGAACAATGTTTTTCTCTCACAACATTTCAGTATAAGCATCAGCATAAGCCAAATTTTAGCATAATCTCAATCGACGTGGAAAGAAGAGAAAGCTAGAAAACCTCAATGCGCTAGCAGATGAATTGCTAGACTATTTATGCATCAATGCATACCCTAGTCCACCATATGGAAACATCAGGTCCATGCCGCTTGATGTAGCACAAGGCAGCGAGAACCGTGTCGGCAATCTCAATCAAAGGGGGTTCATTATAGTGATGTTGTCCATTTTCTGCCTCGGTGATGAGACCTTGCTGGCTTTACTTCCTCCTTCGCCCACACCCCTCTTCCAACCAAGGTGAAGAAGATGATGAACGACTTGACAAGGGCAAAGAGCATATGATCTCCCTGGTAGGGGAGAAGGGCGTGAGAATCTAAAACATTTGTGGCATTCAAATTTACCAAAAGTGGCATATAAACGGTAGCAACGGCCTCTTATCATAGAAGATGAAGTGGCATATAGGAGTAAAAGGTAGCAACCGCCTCTTATTATAGAAGATGCCCAACGGCACTTTTGACCTATGCATCGCGATAGAGCCAGAAAAATTCCAACCCAAGCCTACTAGAGCTCAATGTCTACAACCTACTTAGCTTGGTACCATAAATAATGATAATTTTTATATAAATATGTCAAACTTTGAATTATTTGAGTATGGATAAAATTAGAGTCTGTCTATAGCCCACTCGGGTGTTGCAACACTCGATTTCGTTGTTCATCATCCTCCTCGTCGCCCCTGCCACCGCTCACCACCCCATCGCGGCCGTGCTAGTGTTTCACCGGAGCTCGGGACCGTGGTTCGCAAAACCTTAGTGCGGCCGCGGTGGCCTCCTTCTTTCCCTCCTCGATCTCCGGCTTCCATGGCGAGCTCCGGCTATGGTGCCCCTGTCTCGACTTGGCCCGGCTACCTCCACCACCGCTAGGGCCCCTAACCGTGCACGGCTGCCATCCCCACCACTTGGCCGCCCTACCTCCCCCCCCAAACCCCCATCTATGTCCGTTGGACTTAGAGAAGAAAGAGGAGGAGAGGCCGGATTTGCTGTAGAAATCGATCGAGTGCTGTCTGCTCGAGTCGAGCGTGAGGTAGCATTCCCGTAAAATTATAATAACAGTTGTCATATGGGCTCTAGGTAGGTACAGTACTTAGAGTTTTCTGTCATAAGAATTAAGGGTCTGTATGGACGTAGATATTGGATGACTAGAATTGAATTGGGTACTAATGCCAAATCAGGCTGGTTTTGGAAATAGGCTACAATACCAAATCACTTGTTTGGATGCAGATGAAATTGCTAGTTAGAATCACTCATATGCCAAATACCAAATCACATTTGGATGTCCATTTTGTGAAATTGGGAATTCAGCGCTCGGGCTCGGCAGCGTCGGTGATGGGCTTGGGCACGGCCTTGGCGGTGCGGAGGTGACCTCGCAGCCCGTCCGCCCGGCGGCCTTGCGCGCGAGGCCACACCAACTACTTGGGGGGTGTTTAGTGTGTGTGGGTGGGGGGGAAGTGCGCCGGGCTGCAAATAACAAGAAGAGGGACACCCGGCACGTGAAAGACGAGGGCTCGCACGCATAGGAGTATGAGCTAGGAATGCCATTAAAACTACTAATTGTCATATGGAGTAGCAGACAAGCAGTACAATGTCAAACTTTAAACGTTGTCATATACTTATACCACAAATCTTTTTAAGACGAAGGTATATAGTACTATAAAGTCTGAGGTATACACGTTGGTATCATCTTCCTTTCCACTATGATTTGTGCCGAAAAGTTTAGGCCATCCATCGTCTAGTTACTCCTATAACTAATGGATTATTATCTACCTTGTCTGGTAGTACGTGCATTCATCTATACAATACTCCCCGTATAGTCAACAATAAGGGCGGGCCATTTCTGGTGCCATACATCATCAAAACCTTGTACTGCTTGTCTGCTACTCCCATCATTATACTGCCCTAACGAAATAGGAGTAACATGGAGAATGAAAACCAAACCAGAAGGCTGAAGGCCGCCGGCCGGCGCCCGGCGGCTAACGCGACAGTGACGGATTTATAAGTAATAACGTGTCCACGTTAGGTGATCGATGCCGCTGTTGACGACCACCGGCCGGGCCGGGTCTCTTGCGGCGAGCTGATGCACACTAGCCAGTGAATCAACTGCCACTGAAATCGAGCATCGCCTGACCACCAGAGTGCGCTCCCTACTCCCTAGTCGCTACGCTAGGACGAGGACGACGAAATGGCGCAAGGGGCCGCCGGCGTAGTAGAGACGACGAGGCACGGCGTCGGCAAGCTGCACGCGGTGGTGGTGGCGTACCCGCTGCAGGGCCACATCATCCCCGTGGTGCACCTGGCGCTGCGGCTCGCGGCGCGGGGGTTCGCCGTCACCTTCGTCAGCACGGAGGCCGTGCACGCCCAGACGGCGCGCGCGCTGGGCGTGGACCCGGACGGGTACGACCCCTTCGCGGCCGCGCGGGCACAGGAGGAGGGGCTGCTGCTCGGCGACGTGTCGTACGAGCTGGTGAGCGACGGCCTCCCCGTGGGGTTCGACCGGTCGCTGCACCACGACGACTTCATGGACGCACTGTTCCACGCGCTGCATGCGCACGTCGAGCAGCTGCTCCGCCGCGTCGTCGTGGACCCGGGCGCCACGTTCCTGGTCGCCGACACCTTCTTCGTGTGGCCCGCCACGCTGGCCAGGCG